GTATCCAACACGCCTGCTAGATTTGGGGTCCACCATGCATGCCAGAAGGGACTGCTCTTCTCTTCATCTAGCTGCAAAACCCTCCTCATCTGCAACGCTGGCCTCAAATCCCTTATGACTTTCCATTTGTGAACTGCTTCCCATGCCCCTGCCTCCAACCCGACCTGGGACTCATTATCTCCTATCTGAGTGTCTGAAGTTCCCAACACCTCCACCGGCCCTTGGCAGGCCCCACCTGTCTCCTCGTAGCCCCACAGCTCAATGGTGACAGTCTGCGTGGGCAGCACGGAGGTGTTCCAGGTGAGGCTGAGGTTTCCAGTGGTGTCCGAAGTGCCGTAATATTGCCAGCGGGTCTCGTTCACCAGCTGGCTCTTCTCAGACTCGGACACTTTGTAGGGATGGGCTGCGCCGGGGTGACGAATGAGAGAGGACTTGAAGGCATAAGAGACCTGGAGGACTCTGGGAACCTCTCAATAACAAACACTGAAAGCAGCTAGGTGACAGTCTCCCTCCAGGTCTCTTGGCGGGAAGACACCATGGCCAGGAGAGATTAAGGCCTGGCTTGCAGAGCTGAGGACCCAAGCCAGATTCCACCTCTCATTTGGCCCTTCTCCAGCCCCTTGCTAAGGGACCACCGGGGGCCAATTCTAGGACTGAACCACCTTGATAGGGACCCCACAGCTCCAACTCCTTGTGGGCTGGGACTCTGGTCTAGATGCCATGGGTGGAGTAATGACAGAAACCCTCACCCAAGGGACTGGTTCAGCCAGAGGGACGGGTAGGCAGACCGGGTGTAGTATCAGTGTACATGGATTGACGTTGGGAAAGTCCCCTGGCCTTGGGTTGCGGATGGGAACCAGGGCCCACAGGAGGGTGGGATCTATGGGCTTAGAGCCTAGACCAGCTTGGCAGAGTGAGGACTCACCAGCTAGCCAAGTGCCTGCACGAGGGAAGGAACGGCCATTGTCCAGTGAGACGGTGAATGGAACATGGCCGCTTTCATAGAGCAAGGGTGATATGCAGTGTACTCGGGTCAAATTGTCGATATAGCCAAGGGTCTCGATACTGTCCTTAAACCTGAGGGAAAGAGATGGTAGAGTCAGCCTGAGCCAACAGCTCAGAAGACTTACACTGTTCCTCAGGGAATGGATTATCCTAGCTGTTCCTTTATCTTCCTGCATGCCCTTGGTCCCAGGGTGCTATCTCTAGCTCCCCCCACCCACACATGGGGTTGAGAGTGTGGGAGCCCCAATGACCCAGCTGCTTAGGTCCCCCCACCTGCAAATGACACTATCAGTAGAGTCAGGCCACTTCAAATGTTGCACCACAAAGTCTTTGCCGCCCATCATGGAGCCCGAGGTGGGTGAAATGTCTAGGCAGAAGTCCAGAAAGTCTTCACAGCAGGTGCCGAGGCCCGAGCAGGTCGGATGACAAGAGCAGAGTCCATCCTGTTCCCCACAGCGCAGGGAGCAGCTTCTCTGGGCACCTGGAGAAGAAACTCCCGTGTATTGGGGTCAATTACCCTACACACAGGGCCTGTTTCCCCTGGAGTCCATGAGAAGCCTCCGTGGATGCTGATCAGGAATTGCTCTGGCTACCAAATGACACAGTAGAAAGCCACTGGTTCCATGGGCCGGGGTTCATCTTAGCACAAGTAATGGAGTCGCTTCTCACAGCTAGAAAAGGATCCCCTTGCTTGCCTGGGGACACATAGCCACCAAGAGTCCCATTTAGGTCCAGGAGGGAATGGTGTCTAGGTTGAGCTTTTCCCATCTTTTTCTGGGGGTAGGGTAACAGTTGAATCCCAGAGAGCCCCACCCTCTGCAAAGGCAGCCAGGACACTCCCTTTTAGGGGACAGGAGGGACATTCCAGTGAGGATTCCAGCACAATGTAGTTTGTGTGTACACCACAGGCGCTGTGGACATCCTGTTCAGGCCTTCCGCTGTGGGCTGTGGAGACCTGTGGCAGGGCTAGATTTCAGCCCCGGTGCTGCAAGGCCAAGACCGGGGTGGGGTGTTAAGTTCTCAGGCCAGAGCACATCTCCCAGCAGGCCCTTGCCAGGCCCTTGATGAAGGAGGTCCACCAAGAGCCAGGCCTGGGCCTCAGTCACCAGCCCCACTTCACTAAGTGGAGTGTTTGCACACCAAGAACAGCAATAAATATTTATTGGCTAAGGACTCAATGACTGCAAGGGGTGTGGGAAGATGCTTCAAGATGCCAGGAGATAAAAGTATCAAAAGGGCGGTGACATTTCCCTGTGATGGAAGACAGGGTGAGGCAGGGGACTGTGGGCTGGTAACTCCAGCTTGGCTCAGGAAGAGGCCACGGCCCTAAGATCAACCTTCTCGCTAGATTTTCTTGATTCAGCTGATAGGGACCAGCACAGGGACAGAGGCTGGAGCTCCCTATGTGATCACACCCTTCACTGGGGCTGGGAGTGCAGGCCAAGGACCCTTGGGTGTCCCCCGCTTCCCTCCCAGACCATGTTCTTAAGTGTCCAGGGAGCACAGGATGGGCTTGAGTCAGACCTCCCATCGCTACCAGAAATGTCTAGAAGCAGAAGCCTCAGAATTTCTTCCCAGTACTCCCCAGCACAGCCACAGATGGACTGCCAGATGGACAGACGCTGAACCCAGAAGGGTGTCTGCTTAGGGCCGGCCTGCCTGCCTGATCAGGCAGATAAACAGGGAGGGCTGAGGGCAGAGTGGGGCATTACCTGCTGTGGACTTGGGGCCTGGGATGGTCACCAACAGCATCAAGATCCAAGGCAGCAGGGCCAGCTTCATGGCGCGTCCTGGGTGTGCAACCAGCAGCAGCAGGCAGCACAGAGGCTCACAGATTGCAGGACGGGATCCCTCTCTGCTGGCCTGGCTCCGCCTACCAGCCCCGCCCAGCGTTCTGCGGCACCACTCCTCCCCTTCCCTCCCCCTCCTCTCAAAGTCCACAGGTGCCCTTAGAGACCAGCGAAGCCTGATCTGCCTAGTTAGCACATTCTTGTTCCATCAGCACAGCCTTGGGACCCTGTGTGCACATGAGGGGCTGGAGTGAGCAGCCATTAAGACCTTTGGCACGTGAGAAGAAGCCAGCTGGCGGGCGCTGTGAGGCAACTCAGACCCTGGGTCACACAGTCCAGTCTTGTGTGCGAGGCTTCTGCAGGGTGGTGACACAGTCCTGGTCCCCTCAGGACAGACGCAGGCCTCTGCTTTCCTTAGGGAGGTGTTGCTAATGCCCACTCGGTCTGATGGAGGTGGAGCGGGACTTAATCTGCTTGGCATGCATGTGCTTGGCATGGACTTGAGACTGGGTCACTTCTGATTCACAGCAGGCTTCAGAGGAGCCCAGGGCTCAAGACAGCCTAGAGCTAATGCTGCATTTGGCCAGCTAACATACCCTGTTGTGGGTTCTCAAAGCTTCTGCAGAGAAGGAGCTAGATAGAGACCCTCTCGTGGCTCCTGGTAGTCCTTGATGCCAGGGTGGCCCATGAAGGCCTCTTGCTTGAGTTTGTTAGAGGAGAGGGAAGCTGCTGTTTCTCAATGCAGACACACTGGCTAGCCTCAGGGGAGGAGGAGGTAGGCAGGCTGGCGAATGAGTCCAAGTCTTCTGGTCCGGTTGGTGATCCTTCTCTGCTCCTGGGTCTCCGCCAGCCCATTGTTTTACGGGCCTTGTCCCTTCTTAGTCAGGGCTGGAGGTCACCTGTGGATCTCCCTTGAGTGAGGAAACCTGTGGTTAGGAGCAGAGCCAAGCTGCTCCTAAGGTGACCATGTTCCCATTATACCTGCCAACTCCACAGGTCTATGTGGTGAGAAGTCTCCCAAGGCCTTCACGCTCACCTTCCAGAGCAGGAAGAAAAGATTTGTATGCACACAGGTCCTGTGGTAGAGAGCAGCCTGTGCCACTATCCCGGGCCCAGGCCTGATATGGGTAGGCACAGGGGTTTGGTTGAGTGACTGCTGTCCCTGATTTCTTGGCTCTCCAGAGGGCTGGTCGAGTGAGGACTTAACTTGAGCTGCCATGTTTCTTGCTCCAAAAGGTCTGGATTAGAGATCGAGGGTCTGGTTGAGATTCTTCCTTCTCAATCAAGGGCATGTGCCCAGCCCATGAAGGCACAAAAGGGTACTTCATCTCCATTCTGGCACACAGCTTCCAGGGAAAGAGAAACAGGGCTCTGAAAGGCTGTGGGGTGACAGCCATGACAGGCAGGTATGGGTCCCTGGAACATCAGTATCTCCAAAATGAATGGTATGGAGCCCGGGAAAGGGAAAGGGCCAGAATCATGACTCTATGATCTGGTGTGGTCTTAAGAGTTAACTTTTAGCCGAGTGCCGCAGCACACGCCTGTAGCCTTGCTCAGGAGGCTGAGGCTAGGCCTGCCTGGGCTTCACAAACAATCTGGTTATGTAGCAAGATCTTGTCTCAGGGCTTCAATCTGGTTTCTCTCCCCAGATCTTACAGTTCTATTTTGCTTGCATGTATGTCTGTGCACATGTGTGCAGCGCCTGTGGAAGCCGGAGCACTGGATCTCCTGGAACCGGAGTTAGATCTGGATGTGGACTATTGAGTCTGTGCTGGGGTCTGAACTCTGGCAGAGCAGTCAGGGCTCTTAGTGGCTGAGCCAAACCCTCCAGCTCCCAGATCTTATTTCTGAGCCAGCAGCCCACACATACTCTGTCCCGGCTCCACGCCTGTGCAGCTGGTCCTCTCTGGGAGGAGCTACAATGAGGTACACCTTCCAGTTCCTGAGCTACCTTCTTCCCCATGGTGCCCTTCTCTTAACTCCTTGGCATCACGGTAGGCTCCGCCTTCCTTGTGTCCTTACACTTTAACACCACAGGAGCTCCAGGAAACCCCACACCCTCTCAAGCACAGGTCCACCCTCACCAGGAGTCTCCCCAGAGTCAGCAGTCCAGGGGTTTCTGAACAGTAGTCCCTGGCTGAGTGGGGGTGGGGGGACGGTCCCTGCACGAAGTGGCCACCTCCAGGGTAAGCAAAGAAACAAAGACCATTTTCCCAGCTTTATTAGAAAAGAAGCAATGACAAAAGGGGTATGGGATGAGCTAGGCTCTCGATGTCGCCACCAGAACCCAAGCTAGTCTGTCTTGGCACTGAACTGTGGGCATGAGCTTGTACAGAATGTCAGTGTTCACAAAACCAACAAACAGTGCCAGCCCTGCTGTGTAGACCACAACCAGTTCATCCTCATGTGCCTAAGACAGCTCTCATCTTCCTTTGGACCAACACACTGGGCGTGGACAGCCTCAACCAGGGCAGGATGCTGTAAAGAGGGAGCTGGGCAGGCCTAGGAGACCATGGGAAATGGTACCTCACGTGGGCTTCTGGCCTTGCTCAGGCCTAGCTGTTGCTCTGGGTATGGCCGTAGGGCTCTGGGTGCCCCCCTCATATGTCCATATAGTCGTCATCCTCATCTGTCTCACTCTCCAATGAGGACTCTTGGCTGGATGTCTCCAGAACCTCCAGGGCTGGCTGGCACAGGCTCTCCTTCCTCACATTGGCAGCTGACTGGGCGGAGAGGATTGCTGACTGCACACAGGGCAGGGAAGAACATGGTCAGGAGTGACTGGCTTTACCCTGAACCTCTTGACATTAACCCAAATTCTCACCCAGGCCTCCCCGTAACTCAAGTCCCTTCACAGACCTCTGGTATCATTAGCCCCTACACCAGGCCCCCTGCCTAGTACCCAGTTACCTTCAGCTTCTGCTTGGTCTCCTCCGAAATGCTGCCTTTAGGGGAAAGCAGGGTCGGGGTAGGTGGTGTGACGGTGATTTCAGGGGGGAACTTGGTGGTGGCCGAAGGGATCACCAACTTTGGCATGTTGGACAGGAGGCGGGATTTGGTCCTGCTGGACTCAGTCTTGCCTTGATGGCTCTCCGGTGACTGGGTACTTCCGCTGCTGGGGACCTTAGTGCTGGTGGCTGTTGGGAGAATTCAGAGTTTAGAATCACTCACCTGCTTAGTCTGCCTGTCCCTTCTCGCTAAGAACTCAGTTCCTCCTACAGAAGTCAGAGTGCCCATACCATGTATGCTTTTCTGGCTTTCTGCCTATGTTGACTGTTAGGGTCCCAGGCTTTACTCTGGTTGCAGACCTTGGCATACTAGGTTTGGACTTGCAGCTTGGAGCACCCTGGACTCTGAGAGCATCAGCGGCTCCAGCAGTTCCTCTGAGATTTCCCAGCACCGAGAGAACACAAACCCACTGTTGCATCTTCTGAACTATTCCATTCCAAGGGGGAACACAAGCTGGCCCCAGTGCATACTTTTTCTCTCTCACTCCAGGATGAGTAAGGAGCTGAGTCTCCTGGAGGCAGACAGGGCCATGGCAGACTGCAGATATGGAACCTGGCAGCCTCCAGGGAGCTGCATGAACTGGGAACAACCCAGCTGCCCTGGCATGGCTCCACATTCTTTTAGCCTCATCTCTTTAAAAGGAGTGGGAGCTTATCCAGAGCCCTGCTTGGTCTTCGCGAGCTGGCGCCATATCCTTCCATCCCGAGTGGTCTAGGGGAGAACTCGCCAAGCAGTCTCAAGGAGCCTGACTAGGAGAGTGGCTGGTGGGCTCCCACAGAGAGGCGATGTCTTTGCTCTGCACAGATTTAGCTGCCCACAGAGAAACCTCGGTGTCAGGCCCAAGCTCCTCCCCATACAGAACTGCTCCTCTGGGCTTAAGAGAGACTCCAAACCCAGTAGGACCCTTCTGTGGAGCTGGGGTGAAAGGAGGCTTTAGGGTCCTAATAGTGGTCCCTGCCAGACTCCAACTAGTGCCTTTCCTCATCTCTCTTCTAATCCACCAAGCTGGATGGATCCTCTGTGGGGAAGCCTACCTAGGGCTGTCATCTGAGAGCAACCTGGCGGGAGCTGGTGCTAGGTTGCCCTCAACTAGCCTTACCTTGGCTGCAGGTGGGCTCAGCACCTGTCTGGCAAGCAGTCTCCACTGGCCAGCAGTGCTGCTCAGTCAGGGGACCCGTGACAGTCATTTTCATCTGGTGCCGTGGTTCTTGGGGTGGAAAGCTGGCACCTTCTGTTGCTCCTGACAGCTGCTCTTCTATCTCTATGGAGACACAGGCCAACTGCAGGTAACAACCCCATTTCATGGGAGTTGGGGACAAGTCCCTCTTCCCAGATCCCCACATTTCTGTGATAGACTATACCCTAGGACATGTAACAGGGAAATGTGGCCAATATGGGGACATTGGGATAAGGTAGCTGGCTCTCCATCCCCACAGGAACCAGGGTCCAGCAAGTATTTTTTTGGGATAGCTGTATGAAATGAAGGCACAGGCAGGTAATTTCAAGATCTCTATCACACCTCATGTAGACACTGTGTGTGTGTGTGCGTCTTGCCAAGCTAGCAACTGTGCTTGATATAATGAGAGCCCTGACTAGTCTTTATGGTCTGGCACCATGTCCTTCCATCCTGAGTGACAGTCTTTGGAAAAAAACCTGGCTAAGAGATCTTGAGGAGCCTGCCTGGTAGAGTGGCTAGTGGGAATAAAACAGACAGAGAGAGAGAGAGAGAGAGAGAGAGAGACACTGACACTATGTTTGTGCCCTGTCTCTGCCCACAGGGACTCACCTCTTGGATCTAGTAAGATACTACCACAAGGCTGTCAGGGGTGGGTTTCTATGTGAGGAACCTAATCCCTCTTGTGGCTCATAGGAGTAGGAATCACAACCAGAGTCAAAACCACCAGCTAAGACCAAGGTAGACAGAGAACACGAGGGCACCATGTCTTCCTGCTGGACCAAATTCCTCCTTGTCTGGCACAAGGCAGGAGTCTGGAACTGGTCAAGTGTGCCAAAGCCTGGATGGCATTAAGGGACAACTGTGTACCTGTATTATCAGCTAGGATCTGCCTCCCACCTCCTTCAAGTTCACAGTGGTCTTGCAGGTGACTCTCCCCTCACTCAGATACACTATCTGCCCAGTTCTCACTCTGCCCCCCCCCCCCGACTTCTGCCAGGAACAGCCATCCCCTTTCTCGGGCAGGGAAGAGGCAAGGGCCTGAGTGCCATGGACTGTTCTGCCTAAGTCTCCACAGAGCTGTTCCAGGGTCCAGGTCTCCTCTTTCCCATCTCTTTCTTATTTAAAGAGGAGCTCTTGTTAAGGAGCCCAGGATAGGTCCATGGGATTACCAGTTTCAGCCTCCTGAGGAAGGGATACACCACCACACCCAGCTTGGAGAAGACCATATCACCTGACTCGAGCCACTCCCTCTCTCGTCTTCAATGCCTGGCAGTTTAGGTCATAGGCAAACAATGGTTGGCAGCATGGAGCAGCTCAGGATTTTCCTGCAGCGTTCTCAGCACCACCTCCCATGTGCAAGGGAAGGCCACCAAGCTGCCTTCCCTGGGTCCTGACCCAATGTCATACCCGTTCATAGAGGGCAGGGGTTCCCTGAGTAGCAGAGGTGGGGGTCAGGATACAAAGGTAGGGAGAAGAAATGTCTGAGTTGGGTGTGAAAGCCCATGTGCTCAATTTCAGTACTCGGTGGATGGAGACAAGAAGGCCTGTGGCAAGCCAGAGGCCAGCCTGGACTATCGAGACCCTGCTCAAAAAGTCAAAACCAAACAAAAGTATCCATGTTTCTAGATGATATGGGTCAACAGGCCTGACTTCCCTGAGGTGGGCTCAGGCACTCTCTGGGTAAGGCTTCCCTCAGGCCAGGATGGATGAAGGCTGCTCAGTGTGCCCAGCTGTCAGGTGGCTTGCTCTTCCAGCCCTGCAAACGGCAGTCCTAGGTAGCGGAACTGTCCCAAGTCCTCCCCCTACTTGTTTACTAGTCAAGGTCTTCACTGGTAACAGCAAACACTGATGAGAACTTCGTTTCCCTCTATTTCCAAACACCCGAAATGTGGACAGACATTTAAAAACCGAAACTTGTCATGGAGTCACACAGGACCACCTCAGGACCATGGGGAGCCCAGCTTCCTTCCTAGCAAAATGCTCGCCGAGCATGGCTACCTAGGGTGCTGTTAGGAAAGTGTTCCTGTTCCCTGCTGCAGATTTCAGGTCTGGCACCAGGTCGGGGATGGTTGTCTTGGGAGGCATGGGGCCTGGCTCAGACTTCCCCTGGACTCTCAGGACCTGCATGAAGCTGACATCTTGGCATCTCTATACTGTTTGGGGCAATTCTTCTCTACCTGCTGTCCTAACTCTTTACATGATGGCTTCAGGAAAAGGGACTCTTCTTCATTAAGGTGGTGAAGCTGTGCACAGGCTGAGGCTACTTAGTCAAGCAGCAGCAGGCAAGATAAGCTGGGGCGGCATGGTAGCGAGGCAGAGCCATCTGCCTTGGGGAAAGCGCCCACCAGGGTCTCCTCAGCAGCTGCCCCCCCGGCTCTCCCATGTGTACCTTGGAAGGGTATCCTGTAGGCATCTTGCTCTCAGATATCTCAGCCTTCACTTAGCCCCACTTTCTAACCATTTGCTACTGAAGTCCCCCACTATGGCTGTCACTAAGCAGACTCTACCACCTAGAGGAACAGTGCACCCAGCCACACAACTACACTAGCCTGTCAGGAACATGGAGTTGGTGATGCTCTCTTTCCATGAGGGCTCGACTAGTTCCAGAGATGTAGTGTGTGCTTAAAGAGACAGGTCTGCCCCAAACTGGTCCCAACATCACCCCCACAAAGCTCTGGTGTCCACGGAAAATCCCTACAAACATCACATGCAGATAGCTGATACGGGAGTAGGGGGTAGGCTTGTTCGGGAATGTGAGTGTGCCTGGGACTCTGTGCCAGGTCTGAGTGGGCACAAGTTTTTGCTGAGTGCTGTCCCCACCCCTATGTTCATTATAGTGCTCCCGTGGTAAAAAACCATTTAGTCTAGTCTTGGGGGAATAACTCTGGTGAATAGTTACCCAGAAATAACAAGTACTCTTCCCCAGAGCTAACCTCCAAAGAGAAAATGTGAACTGTGGGATTTTGCTTGCTTTGTGGCAGACAGGTGAGGGAGAGCAGGAATGCAGGCTGCCAGCCAGCTTTCAAGTGGTCTTGATGTCTACCTACTGGAATAGCTGACACCAACAGACAGGAGCAGTGTGTGGCCCGGTGATGTTCAAGTCTTCGGAAACTAGGATTTAAGAGATGCTATGGCTTCCTCCCCACACTAGAACTCCGGCTCTCAAGGTGGGAGAGCACTAGGTTGTCAACAGAGAGACCCACAAGGGAGAAGACTCCGTTAAGAACCTGTTTCCCACACAGGTGATCAGCCACGAACTTGAATGCAGCAGCATGGGAGACCTTGAACTAGGAATATTCCACCCACAACACTGGCCTGGAGCCCCAGTCCTCAAGACTCTCCAAAGTCATGGAGAACATGGGATACGCAGAGGGTGATACAACCTGAGGTGAGGGGCAGGTGAGGTCCTTGTGGGCCCTCGCCCCCGGCTCTTTGAACTCAGCACTACCACCACAGATCCGTTTATCTGCTAAGTGTGAGTAGAAGGGCTCAGACTCCTGGAGGCAGAACCCAGCGCGCGCAGCTTTCTGACTGTTCTGGGTGGCACTGGGGGTGGCACCCAGAGCTTTGTGCATGCTAGCCCGAGCCCACCCTAGATCTCTGACTGCTCTGTTCTGTGGACAGATGGTGACAGAGAGTGTAACTGTGAGTAACTCGGCCCCTACATGGGCACAATCCTCGAAGTAACCCAGGGAGAGCATGAAAGCCCCAGTCACTGAGAGGGGCGCTTCCAACCCAGCCTCCAGCCAGGCAGCCCTAGCCCATGGCTAGAGGCCAGCTGCCCTACTGTGCAGATGAGAGGGGAGACCACAGAGTCAAGGTCCTATGTCTGCAGGCGGCAGATGCAGATGTGACCCACAACCACAAGACTATGACTGGGAGGTCAGGCAAGCCCTAAGGGATGGCTCCAGGTATGCACAGGTAACCCTGTGACAAGGAGCCCAAGACACAGACCAGGTCTCAAAATGGTAAGAGAAGAAAGGGTGGGCAGACTGGTTGTTGCTGGGGCAGAGAGCTAAATCTTAGCTAATTCAGGGTCTCTCGAGCCTGGCTATGGTACCAGAGTCCTGGGAGTCAACCAGGAGCATGCAATGCCTGGGGTGAGCAGAGTCTGGCACCATGCACAATGCCAGAGGAATGTCTGCACCAAAGAAGAGAAAAGTGCCTTGCCTATACCCCTCCTGTGTGTGTTATCTTCATGCCTCTTCTTCCTAGGAAGGGTCCAACCATGTCCTGCCTGCCATGCTGACCACCCTAACTGGCAGCTCCTGACTAAGACAGCCTGCGACACCTCATCCTGTATTTTCTTCACAGGTCCATCTACCTGGTCCTGGAGAGTACTGGGGGCCTCAAGGGCGGCTGAGGTCAGACCCTTCCACAGCAGCCCAGTCTGCACCAGCTCCTGACCGTCTTAGCTACTGTGCAGCTCTGCTGGGGCAGAGACCAGGACAACTGCACAGCCCTCGGTGGTGCCTGTCCCGCTCCTCCTCAGCCTTCCATGTGCAGCAAGGACAGGCACAGAGGCTGTGGTGGTTTGAATGTAATTGGTGCTCATGCTCATAAGGAGTGGTACTATTAGGAGGTGTGGCCTTGTGAGGAAGAGTGTCACTGTGGGGTGGACTTTGAGGTCTCCTGTGCTCAAGCTACTCCCAGTGTCAAGTCTACTTCCTGTTACCTGCAAGATGTAGGACTCTCAGCTACTTCTCTAGCACCATGTCTGTCTGCATGCTGCCTTGACGATAATGGACTAAACTTCTAATTTTAAGCCACCCTAATTAAATGTTTTTCATTTATAAGAGTTGCTGTGGTCATGGTGTCTCTTCACAGCAAAATAGAAACCCTAACTAAGACATAGGGCAAGGTTACCAGAGTTACAGACACAGGCAGTTCCAACTAAGCCATAAACACTTAAATACTGCCAGCAACTGCTACTAGACTAGCAGCTGACTGCCCCAGGGTTACCCCAGGGGTTCTGGAGAGCAACCCCCATGTCTCTTTGCCAATTCTACAGGGAAGGATTGTTGGTAGAGGGGACTAGGCTCTGGGAAAGCTGAATATGGAGCTCTCAGGTTGCCAGGTGGATTGAGAAGGCACTTACCAGGACTCAGAGAGGCCATGCTGGTGGTAGCCTCTGGTCTGTGTGGCCGTGGAATTCCAGGATCTGTGGACAGGTCTGGGGTAGAGGCTGATGTGGAGGGAGGGCAACCGATGACAGCGGTGGCAGAAGACAATACAGTCTGAGGCTTGAGGTGGGAGTCACTGGGCCGCTGGAGGGTATCAGCTGGCAAAGGGTCAGGTGCTGTGGGGGCTACTGTGGCAGGGAAGAAGTTTTCTCTGCTGTCCTTGGGGTGCTTGGGGGTGGTGGGTGCGTCCCCTGAGGCCTGCGACAGCAAATGCAAGGTGAAGAAGGTCAATGGGGCAGCCCTCTGAGCACGCATTGCCCTGTCCAATGGCAGCCTAATTCAGTCCCACAGGACACTTTTTCTGGGCCCTGGATGCCAACATAACACCATACATTACTCTGAGGTTCTTGCTGGCTGTGCCAGAGAGCTCAAACATTCTACCAGGACACAACTGCCACCAACACACAGCCCAGGAGGAGAGTCCAGTTTCTCCTCCTCTGGAGATACCCACCATGCTAGCAGGGCCTCATGAAGACCTGGTTTACTTCTCTGTCCCCTCCACAGTGTCAGTCGAGGAGGACCCCATTCACCTATGTCTCTATGGAGGACATAGGCCCAATCTTGGGGCTGGAGGAATGGGCGGTAAACCTACAAGAGTGACTTTCCAAGGGAGAAAAAATGAGCTAGTCTATTCCCCAAGCTTGAGATCCTCAGGCCTAAAGCTACTGAACTTGGCCACGCAGGCGTTTCTTTCCCCTGCAGCCTGGCCTTTGATTTCCAGGAAGCCCTTAGAGGCCTCTGACTCTCCATACGGTCCTCTTTGCCTTGGTCCCATTGGTGCTTTCTCTTCTGACATCTGTTTCTCTTAAGATATCTCACATGATGGGGACATCTGCAAGTGCTGCTTGTGGTGGCTGTCTAGTGCCGGGAGAAGTTAGTCCACTACAAGATGAGGCAGGAGGCCAAGCAAGGCTGGCAATGAGCAAGAGGGCAGACACGAGTGAGAGTGAGGGCTACGTGCCTGCCTGTCTTCAGTCAGGAACAACCTCAGCAGCAAGTGACTGCCTCTAAGGAGGCCCACAATGCTCTCCAGGGACACACAAGGCTGCCACAGCAACTGGGACACCAGAAAACAAAATGAAAATTCCTAAAGGGGCAGAGGCTCTTGGCTCTAAATGCTGGTATCTTCCTAATGCTGGCCAGAGGTAAGCCTAGGCTAGCTCTAACTGTCTCAACTGCCTTTCTCAAAGTGCATGCTTGTGGGGCTCTGTGGGAAGGGGTGCAGGTGGAGTGGCTTTGGAAGAGACCCGGAAGACCAGCCTGCCCGCAGTCCCACCCACTGGGATGATCAAGGGATAGTAGGGAATGACATGAGGTTTAATGGGAAACTGGAGGGCAGCCCGCTAGGTAGTGTCTCCTCGAAGGAGAGGCACAAGGAAAGATGTAGCGATACAAAATAGCCTTCAGACTGGGCCCTCGGGGACAGAGCTGCTAGCCAGATCCAAATCGTGTGTGGTAGTGAGAGAACCTAGGGCAATCCTAGGGGCATGCCATCCCAGGGGGATCTGGGGAGTGGGTGGTAGGCCCTAAGGACCATTTGTCTGGTTCTCTTCTACTCTGGCTCTGTATTCCAGGAGGTGACGAGGCCTGACAATGCTTAGCAGCAGGCAGTCTACCCCATTACCTAGCTTGGTGCTTTCAAGGGTTGCTGGTAGCAGCCACCACTAGTGACTCAAATGGTATTGATATGTGTAGGTCTTGGCTTCAAGTGGTCCTCTTTCACTTTAGCTGCCTCCTCCAAGAAACAAGATTCCACCCTGTCCTTAACTTAATACTGCACCAGTAAAGGGGAGAGGGGTCTGCTATTTCCTGAATGTGTTTAACACTTAAGCTCATTCAAAGTCAGATATAAGCCAGGCATGGAGATATACACTTTTCTTTTTTTTCTTTTCGAGGCAGTTTCTCTGTGTAGCCTTCTTTGAGTTCTTTGTCCTGGAACTTGCTCTATAGACCAGGCTGGTCTTGAACTCATAGAGATTCACCTGCCTCAGCTTCCCAAGTGTTAGGATTAAAGGCATGTACTACCAATGCCTAGTGAACATAGACACTAGTACTCCCAATACTCAGGAAGCTGAGGCAGGAGGATTGCCATGAGTTATAGGCCAGCCTGGGCTACACAGCAAATCCCAGGCTTTGTGGGCAACAATCAAGTGTTGAAGTCGGCTGGCTGGCTGGCTGGTCAATCCTGCCAAAGATTCTGCTTCTCATCTAGGAGGCTGATCCACAGCCTGCATGCTCAAAGATGAATCATTCCCTGGACCCTTAGACCTAGGGTCTGGTCAGTGTTGATCACCTCCTGTCCTATTCTACCAGGAGGAAACCTGTCTGAATCCCTAAGATACCTACCAGCTGCTGGGGCTCCTAGGACAAGGCAGTTCAAAACCATTGGGTTACTATTAGGATGAGAAGACAGACCCACAACGACACAGACACTGACCACACCCATTGACAAGAAGGCTGCTTTGCCTTTTCTGACCTGCAGGCTCTCAAGGCTTCACAGAGGTGACACTTTGTCCTGCTAGACCTGTCTCCCAATTCCTCCTAGGCTGTTCTCTGGCACCTCTGGCAAGATTCAACATGAGCACAGGCCTCCCCGCTTTTTTTTTAAATTTGAGACAGGACCTCTCTATGTAGCCCCTCGCTGTCCTGGAACTCGCTGTATAAACTAGGCTAATCTAGAACTCACAGAAATCTACCTGCCTCTGCCTCCTCAGTGCCAGAATTAAAGGTGTACCTTACCACATCTGGTCACCAGGAGCTCTATCTCTGGTCTGGAGGGGCTTCTCTCAGCCCATCCCAGGAGGATCTTACTTTCACTGCCACCCCATGTGCCAGCCTTTCCCTGCCATCTTCCCCTGCCTCATCGGCACCTGAATACCCTGGCTTGGAATGAGCCCTACCACACTCAGTGATTCCCCCTACGGGCTCTGCCTGCGCCCCACGTTCCCTGTTGCTTTGGTCCTAGTAAGCCAGTTTCTGGAATCACTCCTGTACTGGTCACAAAGGTTAAGGCCCATCTACTTGTGAAGGAGAGAAAGCATAGCATCTTAGGACCCATATGTACGTCTGAGTCCTGTCAAGGCACTACCATGCTGGGGTTGTGACCCATTCACTATCCAGAAGCCTAGACGCTTCCTGCTCTTCTCCCTGGGCCCATGGTGACCACAGGAACCAGCTCCAGGGCACATTTGCTTCTGGACCTGCAGTCCAAGGCTTTGGTGTGGGACGGGTTCTGTATGAAGGGCTGGCGTAGGCTGGGGAGTTAGTGGGATGTGTGTGTATACAAGGCAGAGCTTACCTGTCTCTGGGTAGCAGCCCCAAGGTGAACCTGACAGAACTTCACAGCCTGCTCCAGTGCAGTCTCCTCGTCCACCTGAACAGAGAGATGCTTAAAATTAGGGAACCTAGGTCACAGTGCCTGACCCTTAGGTGCTATATTAACCCAGCTCAAGAAGGGCACTTCTATGTGGACTTTCCTCAGTGAGGACCACAGCCCACAACCGAGTCTCATTCATGTGGGGATGCAGCCCAAAGGCCCATGTACCACCTCCTGGTGTCAGGACTTGTCCCAGTTAACCCTCAGGCCACACCAAGTTACTTTCCATGGCCAGTTATTTGTGTCCTTCAGGGCTGAGATTGACAGAGGCCTCAGACTCCAATGAAGCTTTCAAATTCAGCTGAGAGCTGGGCTTTGCAGTACATGCTTTTAATGTTAGTACTTGGGAGTCAAGAGGCAGGACTGAGTGTCTCAGGCCAGCGTGAATTACACAGTAAGACCCTGTTTCAAAACAAAACCAGATTAGCTAAAGTGGCTGTCACAGGCTGGTTCCTGATCTACCTTGAGAGTGGGATGTTGATTCCAATGTAACGAGCCCTCTAGAAGCCCACGTAGGATGGTACGTGTGTACCACAGACTAAGAGCCTAACACATATGGAGGTCAGTATGAGACTAGAGGTGTAGAGTTATCGTAAATAAGCACATGTGGCTCAAAGGAGATGGCCACATATTGTCAAGTGAAGATACGAACAGGCAATGTAGGAAGGGACCTGTTCTCCCCGTAGGAAAAGCGGCAGCACCTATGCTACGCCTAGGAATTCATGATGGAGAGGATCTCAAAGGTGCCATCTGGGAAGCCGACCACTAGGACAGTCACCCCATCTGCACTGGCCACAAGTTCTGGGGATTCCTCCTATGGGAATAATGGATCTGTTTGGTGGGGGGGATCAAGCAGACTGAGTAGGGTGGCAGACTCTCTGGGTTGCCATGCTTGGACTCCTCCAGTTCTGTGCCTTAGACTGGGTACCACAGTCACCCATCTCAGGAAGAGGCTCAAGTGTCTCCTCACAGTGATGGGACCAGGGGCTTCCACACTCCTGTGTTGGACTTACACTGCAGTTTGGTCTTCCTTAAAGGCTGAATTCACATGTACACCTCATTGTTTTCTGAGTTTAAACTTACTGCCTGCTCAGAGAAAAACCTCAACAAACAAACAATCCCTCCCCAAAAGGAAAAAAAAAAAATCAAACAAAGTATAGAGTGGGAAAGGGGTAGGCACAATACCTAAAGCCCGCCTCCGGGCTGGGTCCTGATACGTGTGGAGAACAGAGGCCCAGGCAATGAAGGTGTCTGAGACACATGTGGCCCTGGGGTCAGTGCAACGGCTGCCTACCTGCTTGATGAGCATGTAAGTCTCTGACATGATCTTCTCAATGCGGCCCAAGTCATAGGCCATGCCCTTCTGGCCCTGCTGCCACACTCGATAGGCATCCAGCAGGAGAGTCTTGCCAGACTCTGTATCCTCCAGGAGTTTCCTTTTGCGATTAGGCCTTGGAGGTGCCTCCTCAGGGTGGCCAACTCCCCTGGCTCCCGTGGTGGCAGGAGTAGCAGTGGTGGTGGGCGTTGCTGCGGTTGGTGTAAGTGGAGCGGGTTGCTGTCGGGTACTGATGCTCAGTTCCTCTAGAGAAAGCTCTGCGGACCGGCTCTCAGGGCCCCTGTCCCTTGGGGGGCGGCCTGGAAGCAGAGGTGAAGTCTGTTCCAAGTCTGGGTGGTGAACAGCAGCCTCATTGGTGTCCATGGGTTCAGTGGGCCCTGCCTGGGGACTCTCTTTGTCTTTTCGCTCCCCACCCTGGTCTGTGCTGTCCCTTGTGTCTGTGGCCACTGACAATTGGTTCAGAGGGCCCACTCTGCTCGCTGGCTCAGGCCCTGGTCCTGAGCCGTCAGCTAGAGGTAGCTTCTTGGGGTGGGGGAGGCTTTCCTGGCCTTCCTCAGGACTGGCTTTGTGTGAGACATCGGTGGTCATCCTGGCTCCGGAGTGGCCACAGACCTTGGGTCCTGGGTGTTCTAACCCCTACAGGAAAAACAGACAAGTTACTACAGGTGCTTCGCTGATCTCAGAGCCTCCATGGGTCTCTCGACCCAATGTCATTCTGGCTGTGCACATGTGCCAGCTGGCCAAGACTGGGTTTCAGTCACAGACGAGGGGGCTAGCCGAGGGTCCCACTCTCCTCTGCCCCCTGGCATCCACCCTCCTCACATAAGGGAGTGTGGGGCAGATCGGACAATGGGACTTTTACTCATTGCCTCTGGGATGGCATGGCCTGGTTACCCAGGGGTGCTGTGCTGTGAGCCTTGTGGGGAGCTGACATGGGAAGGACTGGAGCAGGGCCTTACTGTGGCTGCTGCAGAGACTTGTTCTCTTAGCCCCTCATATGCAAGAGCTGGGCCGCGGTGTGGGAGGGTGACATACCTCTGCAAGCTCACTCAGGGTGTCCTCCAGCACTTTCACAGTGAGAATGAAAGCCCGCTGGGCCAGGACCTGGCGGTCAGCATCTCGCAGATATTTCCTGCGGTCATACAGGGACAGAAAGAATGGGACAGGGTCAGAAACCATATAGTGAAGTTAGGTGGTGAGCCAGCACTTACCGCAGGAGCACTTGTGACTGTGTTCCCACCTATTTAATCTGCTCCCCCAGAGCCCCCTGGACTACAGGCTAGTGGAGATCAGTGCTATGGTGGGCTAAGTGCCAGCTCACGGAAGGCTTGGGGGCTAAGTTTCTCTCCCTCGGGTTGGTTTCTGGGATGCTTATGCTTTGCAGAAAACCTAGCCTGTGTGAGTAGCACCTCCAGGTGCGCCATCCCCAATCTCTACAAATGGTAGCTGTGGCAGACATCCTGTCTATGTGCCCCATCCTTCTGGCCAACGAAGCCTTGAGAGCTGTTGAGGCCCAAGACCTCTGCTGCCTACCTATTTCCCTGGGGTGCCAAGGCTATTTTCTGACTGTCTATCCCCTACTCCCCATGCTAGTCAGTGCCTCTGAGACCCCACGTTTGGCAGAAGGGAGGGTCTAAGTGTGGAGACTAACGTCATGTAAGTCCTAGGGTGTTCGAGGCAGAGGCGGAGTACTTGAGTTCTAGACACTATGAGATGTCCCTCAGGACAGAGGGAAGGCTGTGGCTTCTGGATCAAAAGATCCCAGAGCCATGTGGGACAGTGGGGACAAGCCTGGGAAGATGACAAGCCAGGTTGTATGTGGTGGCTCACTCACTTGCCCTGGTCTGGTGTCCGCTGCAGCATGGAAGACACCTTCAACAAGGTGCTGTGGTCCCGGAGCTGGGCTAGAACCTTGAGGAGCAGCACGATGGAGCGGTTCATGTGCCAGGCAAAGCTGCCTGGCCGGTCAATCTCATCCACGGGGATCCGCCAGATGCCCTAAGGGGTGGGCAAGGATAAGCTAAGGAAGGCTGCCACCTCCCTGGAGACACCCCTCCTGAGGTCCTCTCAAGCCTGCCACTGTGTTTAGGGCCTAGCCAGGGACTTCCAGTCTTGTCTTGTCACCCAAAAGAAGGCTGCCTCTACCAACTCCCTTCTCATCCAGGGCAGAGGATGGTACAAGTGAGTTTCCATGGCCGTTGTTCCAAGTCAAAGTCACACTAACTGAGTTGAGCCTGCCTCACTCAGGATCCTCCTGCCTCAGTTTCCTCTTTTGTATCCCACATGCTCACTGGACCTGTTCCCTATGGTGGCTTTCACGCTGTGCAAACATTTCTCTGTACAGGTATTGGCAAAGACACAGGAACAACTCCCAAGGGAAGAATACTGAGCCAGAGGGGACTGGCAACACTCTAAGTGCTGCTGGAGGCCAAGCCCCTGCAGTCTCACTTCCCTCAACCCCAATGCTACCCAGGCCCCCACCACCTCAGTCATATCAGCTGGCTTTAGTGGAGTGCTCCCATCTCTCGGTCTACATCTAAGCATGAGGTATTGTCCTCCTTCCCTCCCTCCGTCACCAGCACCCTTGCGGTGACAAGCCTGGCACCTGACAATCACTTGGGGTCCATCAGGGTACAGCTGGGTGCCATCACATGGATGCCAGAGGGAAGGAGTGATGAGCGAACGAACACTGATAAGACCTGTTTGACACATGACCTTGGCAGCCTGGAAGAAGCTGGGGGGCAGGGGTCCCTGTAGTCAACCTCGGAGAAGTTCCAGCTAGCCCAGGCCCTGGATCTTGACAGGCTTCCTTAGGGGTTTTTAGGTCTCAAGTGCCAGTCACAGGTATTAAGGTAGCATCCACGTGGTGCTCTGTTCTCATGGCGGCTAGCCAACTAATGCGGTCCATGTCCAGAAGTGTAAACCCATGTTCTAGCAGGCTAAGGGGTTGGGGGAGGAGGGAGGGTAGGGCATCTTCAGCCTTCAAGAGACCTGGAAAAGCTTAATGCCCTCAGTCCTTAGCACTACAACCTCCATACTAGGCCACAAGGAGAGCCCACTTGGCAGGCTAGGGGTTGAAAATATCTACCTTCAGGACAGCAAACACCATTATATATTCCTCAGATGTATATCTATAACAGCTTATAAAAAGCCACAGTGTGTGTGTGTGTGTGTGTGTGTGTGTGTGTGTGTGTGTGTTACTCTCAACTACAGCAGTTAGCGTGGGAGGCAAGGACCTGCTTCCCTGCTCCTAGGTCTGAGGCTAGCCTAAGACAGACTACAGTGGCCATGAAGGTATCCACAGGTCCAGCGGTGTGAGGTTAGGAAAAGGCTCCATTTGTTGAGGAGGTACATCATAGACATCATACACGGAGTCCTCACCCTGGCTTTCCACAGACGACAGACAGTGGAGCTCAGAGACAGGGACTAAGTCTTCTGGCGCTATAGACTCGAGGGGCTACCCAGAACTGGGGGGGTCCTCACCACCCCACAGCTTTGAGGAAAAGATCCCCGTGGGTATTCACAAGAATACCACACCTGTATCAACCTCCACAACTGGCTTCAGCAGCTCTTCAGTCTGGATAGTAGGGAGAGTCACCCTGAGATCTGGTGTGACCAGGTGCCCTTTTCCAGATCCTCCTCCCCCCAGCACACACACACTTGGAGAGGCCTGGAATCAACCTGGATCCACAGAAGTCTCCCCACTTTATTCAGACCTCAGGATGGCAGAGGGTCTGCCTGACTTCTCAGTGATGCGTTCAGAGCCAGGCATGGTAGTGCACACTTCACTTCTAGTGTTCGGGAGGCAGAGGCAGGGGGATCTCTATGAGTCTGAGGCCAGTCTAGTCAGCACAGCAACTTCCAAGCCAACCAGCTGAGCTATATGGAGAAACCCTATCTCAAAAGCCACCCCCCCCCCACATTTGCATCTGCTCTTCTGACCTGTGCCGAGCATGACTGTGATCAGAGGAGCAGAGCGAGGCAGGGAAGGGGTTCTGCTCCAAGCCAGTGGTGCTGGCGTGCAGACATAGGGAGGCTGAGTGAAGCACAGAGGCAGGGATCTGGGGGCTTCAGACATCAACTGGTGTTTCAAGGGCCCCCAGCCCTTGGATACTGTCATGCTGTCTAACAGTTATACATACTGGAGCTAATCACCCCTGGAGGTAGCTAGTTAATTAACTCTGGTTAATTAGTAGAATGGAGTTTTTCTATATGGCCCCAGGGCTTTGGGTGTGCTAATGAAGCACTGTTAACCTCTGAGTACATCCCTAGTCCTTGTTTGAGACAGGTTACACTATATACTCAGGCTGGTCTTAAACTCTTGGCCCTCCTGGCTCAATTATATGTGTGGACCAAGCTAAGTCTCACTGGCCTTTTAAATTTTCTATCTCAACTGCCTCTCCAACTTCCCCGAGTCCTTTTGACTGACACAAGCCAGATTCCATGTACAAGAGCGTTTGTTTACGTCCTTCCACAGCCTCTGCCCAGCCAATAATCCCAGTATCTTCCCAGGCCCATGTGATATCTGGTCCCTCTTCTACGAGCTCCTGCGGCTTGCTTTCTCTGCCGTGGAGGAGATAGTTCAAGGCCAGCTTTTCTGATGGCTTTGCAGCTGGCAGTGTGTCTGAGGCCCCAGACCCAAACTTGGCAGAGCAATAGGGTATCCATCGTGAAAACTTTCTGTCTTCCATTTTATTGGGTACAGGCTATCTGTGCTAGGGAGATCCTAACCTCCCCCACCTCTTCCTGGAAATTTCCATGTTCAACTGAGTGGGGCAGGTGGGAAACAACAGTGTTCACAGCAAACAAAGCTCTTCCAAGATCCCAGTGTATATGAATTCCACACTTAGGGGACATGGGAATTGCAAGAAGATAAACTGACCCTTCCCTAAGAGGCAGCCAGTGCCAGGTGGCAATGTTATGGTTCCGAACAGTGTTCACTGAGCACGGTCCACCTGGCCAGGTGAAACTATCACACCATGAAAAAGTGAGCTGAGAAGGTGCTACCAGCAATGAATTGTGCTTGGCCACATGGAGGGTGTGCTGGGGAAGCAGAGGAGACCTGGCAGATGTTAAGGGGCACAGGAGGTCAGGAGTTCTGAAAAGGCTCTCATTCCTCAAGCTGAGGATTGAAGGTACAGCATCTCAGGTCACCTTCCCAGGCAAGGGCAGGACTAGAAGGGCCCAGCTCCCTCTGGGGGCTGTAAAAGACCCGTCAGGCAGATGGCTGCGAGGGAATCACATTCAATACCAGGGGAAGAGAAAACCAACAGCGAGGGACTGTTAGCAACAGTACTGACGGGCAGCATGGCTAGCTGAGGGGTCTCTCGCCCACGTCTCCTAGAGCACCCGACGACAAAGGTATTAGTGCAGAGAGGTCGAGTTTCCAAAACACTGTGCATGGGTATGGTTTGGATCCCTACCTCCTTTTTCACTTCCTTTTATAACACAGCAGTACTGAATCCAGAGAGAATGAGGCAAGTCCCAGGAAGAGCAGAAAGGAACCACAGATACTCAATCAGAGGGCTCAAATACTCCAAATGAGCCATCGGAGGCTTGAAATCCAGCAACTGCAGAGGCGCTGCTCTCTCCTGGCCCTTCCCTACAGGAAGTGGTGCTGAAAGGCACACTTGCTGGGCAAGGTTGGCTCACTCAGGCCTCATCTGTTCATTTCCTGATCCACAAGACTCTTGATTTACTGGGTACCATCTCCTCCCTGTTTCCCGTTAACAGGTTCCTTCTCTTTCCTGGGCATGCAGCCAGAAGGTAAACTAGCAGGAGCCCTTGGGATCTCCTTTGCCCTCTCAGCATGGGGCTGTGTGTGCAGATGGAGACAAGCCTGGGTAGGCAGGGGAGTGAGTGTTCCTGTGGCCACCACGCTGGCTTTTGGAGACAGCTGTACTGAGAAAGGGCAGAGTCATGAGCCAGCAGGATAGAAAACAAGCCAACTACGCCTTCTGCCTGAGCTAAGCAGAGTCCAGCTTCTGTGTTTACAGCTCCAGGATGGACTGGGCAGGGCCCTTTCCTAAAGGGAAAAGCTGGAACTCACCTCTCCCTGACTGCCCCACCAAACCCACCCCAGAGAAGGCATCAGAGGAAGGCAGAAGGCAGAAGTGCCTCAGGCGGAAGGCAGGTACCCAGCAGGTAGACAGCTATTCTGTTCTGTCACCCTCACCACAGCCCACAAGTGAAAAGGGATAGGGCTAAGCAGAGGCCACACAGCACCTAGCTCAAAGCCCAGAAGGAAAAGGCACAGACCTCTGGAGGATGTTACGGGTAAGCAGGGTCTGAGCTGGGCTGGAGCTAGTATGGAAGGAGCCTGCAATGGAGCTCATGCAATAGTAGGAACACACATAATGCTAGCAGCATTATTGGAGTCAGAGGGCATCAGGGACCCTGACCTCCAAGGAGGCCCCTGTGTAGGACCATGCTTTCCTACCCCTGCAGGCATGCATGCCATCTTTAATCAGCCTCGCTTGAATCCTGAGTTGCGGTGTCACCAAGACTGGGTTCCCTGGCGGTCAGTGTTGCTGGGGAGAATGCTTGCTCAGAGCAGTCAGGGGCCTTCCCAGCAGCCCCAGAGCACTTTCCAAACACCACACTGTGCTCAAGTTTCTCCTGTATGCCAAGTACCTCATCCCAAGCATCTCAGCCCGTCTCCATTCCTCAGAGAGGTTCTGGGCTCCTGGATGACCGATGAAGTCACCAAAACACACACTGGTCACTGAATAATTTATGCAGTCCCAGACTGTGGGCTCCCAAACCCTCCTCACAGTGTCCTCCTGCTGTGGAGGCAAAGAGGCTTCAGGATCTACACCCCACAGCAATGTGAGTCTTGGGCGGATGGAGGTGGGGCATGAGCACTGCTGAGAGGGTTCCTGAAGCCGTTCTCAGAGGAACAGAGGGCTGTGTTACTGGAGGTAGTAGGTAAGCCTGAAGTAGCACCCACAAATGCTCACCTACTCACAATGGACTGGAGAGCAGCGTGGGCAGACAGG